CTCAGACCTGCCAGATCTCGGTGGTGCAGAAGGCCAACCCCAGCCTGCCCTGCGTGAAGAGCATGGAGCACGAGTGGGGCTCAGCCGGCACCCCTGAGCCGCTGAGGGGCGCAGGGCTGAGCAGATAGAGGCTCAGCAGCACCCCATGCCCCCCAGCATCACCTTCCCTCCTCCAGAGCCCACCTCCTGCATGCTCCAGACCTCCCCATCCCGTAGAGACATCACTGCTGCCACCTTCGAGGGAAACCACTATCCACACACTATGGTACTAACATTTACACCCCAGCGCTGCCACAGTATGGCTTTGCTTCTGCCTTCAGCTTCCCAAACCAAACCGGGGAGGGGGACCCCTCCCTGAGAGATGCCCCGCACACCACGGGAACGCAGATCCTACGGGATCTCACAGGTGGGCAGGGAATCTCCAGGCACTAAAGAAAGGGCCACACGACCAGATCAGCTGGCCGTCCTGTACTGCCACATCCAGCCTCAAGCTGAGCAGGTCCCTCCTCCCAGAACCTCATCCCCCTGCACAGCAGCTGCTGGGAGCTTGCTGGGGAGCCCCCCAGCCCCTTGTGCAGCACCTATGCACCTCAACCAGCCCCTTCTCTGCCCCAGAGCATAAGGGGCACAACCCACCTCTGGAACCACTAATGCCCCTGCTGCCACAGCTCCCAGGGCTGGAGGGGATCCCGGCACTGCAGGCCAGCCCTGGGCAATGCTGCCAAGGAGCCAGCCCGGGGTGGACAGCAGAGGTGGAGGGAACCACTAGAAGATGTCCCCAAGGGAGACCCCCACCCCTGCTACAGGGGAGCAGGGTGGGGAGCTGGGGTGTCCTGCCAGGGTTCAGGGAGCTGAAGCAATCCGCACGTGCCAGGGTGGAGCCGGCCACCCTGTCAGCCTGCCCCGGCTGGTGCCATGCCTGTGTTGTGCAGAGCCTCGTGTAGATGTGTCTGTTCTTGCAATAAAGATATTACAGAAAGAAAAGGTCTCCAGCCTGTGACTGTTGTGCTGGGTGGGCTGCATCCACCATGGGAATGGTGTAGGAATAAGGTTCTCGGGAAGCCCAAGTTTTTGGTTTTGGTTTATTAGGGTGTTTATTAGGTTTCTATGTAAAGAGAAAAACTCTTCAAAAAGTTTGGTAAAAATAGGGAGCTGGTGGTTGAGCAGGGAGATCTCCATCCCAGCTCCTGAATGCAAAGCACACATTCACTCCAGCTCCCCAGGGACTCTAAGACCAGCAGGATGCCTTCCCACAGGAGTGCAGGCAGGGAACATCCCAGGTCCTCACTGCTTCTCAGCTTTGGACCATCACTATCACGCTGACACTGCACATGGCCACATCCAGGTGGCAAGGGCTGGCCTGCCAGGACCCGCCTCTTCGGAGGGGTGGGTGTTGGGTTGTAGAGATGCTGGGCTGTGCGTAGGATACCCATATGAGGGGCAGGATGAGTGCCAGGGCAGGAGGGCAGGCTCCCACCTTGTCCAGGTGGCCAGTGTGCCTCACCTGGACACCCCACCTCTGCTTCTGGGGTCGCTGCAGAGGCAAGGCCTTCACCCAAGGCTGGTACTGGGCTTTGCTGGAAGTACTCTCCCCTCCTTTCCCCAGGCTGGGCTGTTGCCTTCTGGAAGCCCTCCAGGTAAAGGCACTTCAGGCCATTCCCTGGGAGGCAGATTTCTTTTTGGTGGCTCACACCTTCACCGAGGCTGAAAGGGTCCAGCCCCCAGCTGAGGGCTGCGGCACAGGACGCCGCAGCAAGCACCGTGCTCCTCTGCTCGCAGAGGGACAGACTCGCCCCGTGCCCACCGGAGTGTGATGGACACTGGGGGGACACTGGGATGTGTGCCCCACCACAGGCTGGAGACAGTCCTGCCCACCACGCTCACCGGCGGCACACGCTGGCAGCACCGCAGGACCCTAACACCCCTTCCTGCTTCAGATGGTGATGGAGTTAGTGCTGGAGAACTGAGACACGTAGGAAGCCAGGATGGGGTTGGTGGGAAGGACTTTGATGGGCAAATCCCAGCTGAAAGTGTCCACTTCCATCTGCTCCACCCCAGTCCAGGTGACGGCCTCCGGCTGGTTCCCACGAACCAAGCAAGTCCTTGCCGACTCCCCAGAGGTGACAAACTCAAAGTGCAGCCTCCACTTCAGGGACACTGTGGGCAAGAGAGGGGTCAGCAGCGAACACCACAAAGGACATGGACAGCCATCTGTCTGGGTGTTGGCCGTACTGCCAAGGGGACACGTAAATAAGCCCGCTCCCCCAGGCCCACGCCCTCCCACAGGACAGCCCCGCTGAGCAAGGGCAGGTCTGGGGACATGGCAGGGGACAAGCAGGGGTGGGTCCCTCCCCTGGTGGCCACTGACCGATGTTGGTGGTGAATCCCGGGGTGGAACTGAGCGGGATGGGCAGGCTGAAGCTGCTCTGGGCTGTGTGCAGGCAGGCCTCCTGATGG